CCCCGGCGCCGTGCTTTCCCTCACACGTGTTGTAGTCCTCCGAGTTCAGCAAGTTGCACAGCTGCGGCAGCAGCTCTGGCCACATCTGCAGCTCCCCCTTGGAAGCGATGGTCGTAATGAGAATCCCTGCCGATTGGAAGCACACGCTACAGCTCACCCCTCAGGGGAAACTTTGGCTCCCCAGCCCCAGGGTTCTCCTCACTCAGCCCCCGAGGTCACTTACACACACCCGGCAGGGAGCAGGGGACGGTGTGGTGGCTCACCCCGAACGGGAACAATCACGGTCCCCCGGTTTAACCAAGCACACCTAGAATGGGAGCCTCCGATCCCACCGGTCCACACTCCCGTCAGGACCGAGAGGAGCAGTAAGAAAGGCAGGCCAGCTTTCTCCAGGAACCATGTGTTACACAAGCTAGGGATGGGAACGGGTGACCTGTAAGCGTCACCCTTAATGTTGACGGTTCCAGTGGGGGAGCAGGGGGTTGCTCCAGCTCCACAGGGGACCCACCGCAGACTGGGGCTGCTCCGGCCGTCTGGGACTGCTCCCAGAACTGCCCGGCACAGAGAACCAGAGGCTTCTACCCAAGTATATTTCTGAGCATTAGCTAAGCAGTGACAGCCGCATTCTGGCTCCGCCTCTGTTTGATGCACCTTTTACCCGCCCCCGTGCCTCTGACTGACAGCCGCCTGACCTGCGATTCAACTGTTACCGGCAAGAGTGCCAGCAAAAGGCCTGATTATCGTAGCCACCGAGATGCTGGTCGAGCTGTAATACAGACCCCGCACAAGGGGGCTTTATACCAGTATAACCGCACCTACACTAGGAAACGGGTTCGCCGCCGTCGCTGCTCCTGCACGTGAGGGTGGACGAGGCTGGAGTGTTTTGTTTCTGCTGCCCTTGCGGGAAGTGGTGCAGCCCCAGGAGCACAAGCTGGGTTCCATCCCTTTGCCCCGGAGGATGGAATTCTCTCCCCTGCGATATTCGCTTGGTGCCAACGCTGGCACCATTTCGGTGCTTTTATTGGTGTTTGGAAGAGGGGAGAGGCTGGGGGTGGTGTGTGTCTCCCCCTCCTCTTGAGGTGTTTCAGCAGGCTGCGTGTCCCTGCCCCCCCTTTGAGGTCAAAAATTTTGTATGCTACCTCGAATATTTTAAATAGAGAGGCAGGGTAAAAATATTTTAAATCAATGAAATAAATCCCACCTCCTGCTAGAGATGTTACCGGCGAACCCCTTAACTGGTAAGCCTCACCGCTAACTGGTTAAACTATCGCTCAGCTGATTAATGAAGTAGGATTTGACATCCCTACCGCCTGCATTAGCTACATTCCCACCACGGATTCTTCACCGGCAGGAAGAGCCGAGCACCAGCAGTGAGAAAAATCCTCTCCCACGAAAGAGACGACACAAGACGGGCCACTGAAGAATTCCCACATCAGCCAGCACAGCCTCGCTTTAAGGGCATCATTAAACTCCACGTGCCGATTTACGCAGGCGGCGTGAGCACAAGCCGGGAAATGCTCCTTCCAAGTGGCCTCCAACTGCCCACAGAGCAACCCTGTCTCTTCCCCGCCGCCCTTACC